TACTAAAACACCTCGAATCCTATTTGAAAAGGGTTAAAATAGAAATCAATTAAAAAACAAAGAGATGCAGGGACCTGACACCATCCATTCCCAGAGGACACCTGCCCAGGTCCCTGGGACCCAGATGTCCGGCGACTGCCTCGGGATGAGCCAGAGGAATTTTTCACCACTCTGTGGTAGGAAATAAAGGGGAAAATAGTGAGTTTCAAATAAAGCTAAATTTAACTTAAAGAACAGTTTTTTCTTTTAAGTATTAAAAAGTCCTTTTCTTTTAGGAAATGATGATTGTAATAGAGGGTGGTGGTGGTTGTTGCTTACGGTGTCATTGTTATGTCCTTTCTTGGCAAAATAAAAGGTTGGCAACAGTGTGCCTGTTTTCTTTGTGGTTTTAATACCTGGTGAAATCTGAAATCTGAAAAAGGCCATCATTTGGGTGATTGGTTTTCACACTGTGGCTCTGAGCCGTGGGGTTCCTGGGGAGTCTCTGCCTTGAGGATTGGCAGGGAGCTCATGGGTGGGGCCCAGGGCTCTTGGCCCCATTTTCAGAGAAGCCTGTCTTCCTTTTTATATATTGGGGTTTTTGTATGGTCCTGTTTAGAGAGAAGGATATCCCCTCCAGAAGCTGGAGAGCCTCTCATCTAGGTTGTGGGGGTGGAGGAGGGGGGGAGGACAGGAGAGAGGGTAGGAGGAGGCTACTGCTTTGATAGGACTGAGCTAAAGTGCATCTTTCACTTGGCAAGTGTTTCTCACCTGCTGTACTAGTCGGGGGTTCTCCAGGGAAACAGAGCCAGTAAGGTATGTGTGCATGTGTGTGTCTATATCTATATATATAGAGAGAGAGATCTATATCTAAATCTGTCTATTTAGAGAGCGAGAGATCGAGAGATTTAGTTCAAGGAATTGGCTCACCTGATTTTGAGGGCTGGCATATTCAAAATTTGCCAGGCAGGCTTGCATGCTGGACACCCAAGAAGAACTGATATTGCTGCTCGAGTCCAAAGGCGGTCTGGAGGCAGAATTTCTTCTTCCTTGGGGGACCTCAGGTGTTTTTTCCTTAAGGCTTTCAACTGATTGGATGAAGCCCACCCACACTATGGAGGGAAATCTGCCTTATTCAAAGTCTACTGATTTAAATGTTAATCACACCTAAAAATACCTTCACAGAAACATCTAGAGTGGTGTTTGGTCAAATGTCTGGGTCCTGTGGCCCAGCCAGGTTGGCATGAAATACACTATCCTGCCTACTCCAGCACCTTTCACGCGTGGGTGGTGTGACGGGGATAACAGAAGGAAAGTCAGGTCTCTGCCTCAAGGAGACAGGACTGCGCCTAGGAAGAAATTAAGAGCAAGACCATTTATATTTAAGTGCTAACTTGTAAAAACGAAATGTGAAAAGTATTTAGAAGTGATGTGGTGGATGAGGGCTGGAGGATTTGGGGAGATTTCATAGTGGGTATTGAACATGAGCTTTCACAACGTGGAGTTTTCAGGTAAGTGAGGACTCAGAAGCCTGCAGAACCAGAGTGGGAAGCACAGGATAATAATATATAATAATACATAATAATAATAATGCTTCAGTTTGTGTAGGACTCTGAGTTTATGAAGGGTTTTCACATACGTTGATTTGTTTGCTGCTTGCAACAACCCTGTTCTTTTAATTGATGGTCCTGAGGCCCAGAGAGGTTAAGTGATTCATCAGAGGTCACACAGCTTGCCAATGGCAGGGCAGGGTCTTCCTACCCTCCCTCCTGTCCCCATCCTTTTCCCCCTTCACTGGGCATAATGAAATCCATGTGAATGTGTGTATGTGGGGGGAGGGCGGGCTGGGGGGGGAAGTATTCCAAGACAGAGAGAATAAATATATGTTCTTCACGCAGAAATCTCATGAAACTCAAAAATTGGTTCTTTTAATTGATGGTCCTGAGGCCCAGAGAGGTTAAGTGATTCATCAGAGGTCACACAGCTTGCCAATGGCAGGGCAGGGTCTTCCTACCCTCCCTCCTGTCCCCATCCTTTTCCCCCTTCACTGGGCATAATGAAATCCATGTGAATGTGTGTATGTGGGGGGAGGGCGGGCTGGGGGGGGAAGTATTCCAAGACAGAGAGAATAAATATATGTTCTTCACGCAGAAATCTCATGAAACTCAAAAATTGCCTGTTCTCTCTCTCTCTCTGTCTCAGGGTCTTACCATCCTCGTTAACTGCCATTTTTTTTGTCTTCTCACTCCCTCCTAGACACGAATGCAGAGTTTGAATCCAGATCCCAAAGCCCAGTACACAAGTATCTATGGAGCCCTCAAGAAAATCATGCGGACTGAAGGCTTCTGGAGGCCCTTGCGGGGCCTCAACGTGATGATCATGGGCGCTGGGCCGGCCCATGCCATGTATTTTGCCTGCTATGAAAACATGAAAAGGACTTTAAATGATGTTTTCCACCACCAAGGAAACAGCCACCTAGCCAACGGTACTTTGAAAGCGTTTGTCTGGAGTTAGAAAGTTCTCTTCTTCAGCACATCCTCCCCCCGGGTGTTCTTGCCCGCGAGCCTCGTCTTCGGCACCGTGCTCATGAATAAAGAACTCTGGAGTCGTGTGTGCACACACGCCCAGACACACGCACACACGCGCACACACACGCTTTTCTCTTGCCCCTTCTCGGCTTTCTGAAGCCTGGGGAAAATCGGTCCCAGAGGTGTTTCAGTTTTTATTGTTGTGTGGGTTTTTTTCCTTTTTCTTTTTTTTTTTTTTTAAACATTCAAAAGAAATTAATGATCAGACCTAGGAAAAAGCACCCTGAATAGAAACAAAACTTTTGAATGCTGGATTCAAAAAAAAAAAAAAAAGTTATCTGGACAGCTTCTTTGAGACTATTTAAAAACTGGTACCAAAGGTCTCTACAACGCCGAGATCTAACTAAGCTTTAAAAGGTCAAGAAGTTTTATGGCTGACAAAGACTTGCACCAGCGCAGATGGCCTTTCCCACGTTAAGCTTCTGGGGATTTGGGAATTTTACCCCCATTCTCTTCCGTCTGTCTGAGTTGCATCTCTCTGCGAGCAAGGGCTGAAATGATTTTGTTTTGTTGTTTTGGGGGAGAGAAGCGGAGTGGGGTTGCGAGTTGGTGGGCGGCTCTTACATAAGGCATGTTTTACTAGGCCAGGTTGCGTGGTTATTTTCTTTGGGGAGGTTGGCTTTTGTTGTTTTTTTTGTTAGGGTATGGAATGGGAATATGGATGGCCCCATGAAGTATACTTATTCTCACAACATTAATTTTTCAACAATGGAGAGGTGGATGTGACCAGCAACAGGCTTTTTTATTTCTTTCTCTTCTTGCTCTACTCAGAGAAAAACCAAAAAGTGCCCCTCTCATCAGCAGACCTTGGTAATAAGTGCACCTAGCTGGTTTGCAGACCTTTGTTTTTGCTTTTTAAAAATTGGCTATTAGTTGCATTTTTTGAGACGGTCACTAAGAATCATGGTCACTAAGAATCATGGCTTTTTGCTTTTTAAAAATTGGCTATTAGTTGCATTTTTTGAGACGGTCACTAAGAATCATGGCCTGATGCTACCCCCAAACCCGTGATATTGGGGACCCCCTCTGGTTGCTGAAACTGCCTTATGTAACAGTTGAGCTCCCTGAAGGGGGTTTGACAGAACCCACTCTATGCCAAGTTCTGCCCAGCGCTGTTCCTGCAACATTGTGGTGTGTGCTGCGGTTGTATTTTGACCTTTCTGGGAATAATTATAAGTGTGTGTGCAGGAGGGAGGCGGGTATTCTGTGCCTTTCTGAAGAGTTATCCTGGTCCCCCTCATTCCTCCCACTTTCCGGTGGTAATTTTAATTACTGGGCAGTGTCACCACAGAGGGAGGAAACCCAAAGCTGAAAGCAAAATTCCAGACCTAATTCAGGCTTTTGAAGTTCCTGGTTTGTGAAGCCAGGTCTGAGGAGACCCTCTAACGGGTTGGGTCATCTCCAAGACAGTCACGGCTTTACAAACTTGCCCTGGAAATCTACCAGATGCAGATGATTGTTTCTGTCTTCCTTGTCTCTTGCCCGTTTTCTTAAAAGTGGCTGGAGTTTTAATTAAGGAATTTTTAAAAAGATTTATCTTTTGACTCTCCTCCCCCGCTTCAGCCATATACATGATATTATCTCCTTTGATTGCACCAGTTTATGGGTAGAGTGAGTTAATCTGTAGACAAAGGTGAGGGACAAGAGAGAACTAAAATCTAGACCATGAAAAAAGCCACAGAGTGTGGTGATTTCTGGATACCATCCAACGTCATCAGATCTAGCCTTTCCCCAGGGTTGACTACAAGAAAGAAAATGAGATTTCTGCAAGATCAAAATGTCAGTGTGCCTATGTTAACCTCCCCTATTTTCCTCCAGTATTTCCACAATCACTTTAGAGTCTTAAGAGTCAGTGCTCACCTGTGTGGAGCTGGTAGTAAATTTTGCTTAGAAAGCTAAGTCCAGAGTTCCTTCTGAATTTTAGGTTCCAGGAATTTCCTCAGAACACCCTGTTCCAGAGGGTAATTTTCTGGAGTTTGTTTTGCAGGGATAGCTGGGAGTATGGCCACCCTGCTCCACGATGCGGTAATGAATCCAGCAGAAGGTAATGTTTCATGGTCCCAGGGAGGGCAGTAGGGGGTGTGCAAAGGGGCAGAAAAAAAGATGTGGGGAGTGGTGGGGATGGAAGGTGGCCAGGAGGACTCCTTGCCCCTGGAGAGAGCAAGCAGGGGAATTGAATTCTTTACTACCTTATTAAAGGTCTAAGAAGACATATGAGCATTTGAGCTTTATGGTAATTCTGGTCTTATAAACAGATCCACTCAAGTGTGTTCCACAGACCAGTAGCATCAGCATCTCCTGGGAGGTGTTAAAAATGCCAGTCCTCAGGCCCCACCCCAGCCCTGCTGAATCAAGAATCCCTGGGGATAGGGACTGGGACTCTGTTCTAACAAGCTCTCCTGGTGATTCTTTTGTGTGCCTTTCCACTTCTAAAACCTCACACACATGCTTCTGGCCTGGTTAACCTTTATCAACCCTAGGCAAACTTCAGGGGAACCATCAGAGGCCATTTGTTAGAGCTTGTGTTCAATTTGCTTTCTAAAAAAAAAAAAAAAAATTGGAGAGGGGAACCATCAGAGGCCATTTGTTAGAGCTTGTGTTCAATTTGCTTTCTAAAAAAAAAAATTGGAATGTTATGGAACATTGCAAATAAGCAAATGTAGACAGAATAGTTTTATGAACCCCTCTTCTCCCCCCTGTCCATCACTCTGCTTCAAAAATCCACATTTGGCCATTTCCTTTTAGCTGTCTCTCCCCACATTATCTTTTTTTCTTTTGAATTTTGGGAGTGTTATAAAGCACATCTCAGCTGTGCAGACTTGAGTTCTGTTTGCTTTTTATATATCCTAGTGTTTTGGTTGACTCGGGTCTGAATAGTGAGGGACTTTGGACCTGGTGCTGAGCATGCCTTCAGCTGGGTTATTCTCTATCTGGAGGTGGCTTTAGGTGAGATGTGGATGTCTCCACCTTTCCCCCCCATCTGAAAATGGCCCTTTGCTAGAAGGGAGAATTGGAGAGAAAAATTTCAACATTCAAAGTCCTGGGTTATAAGTTTGTTTTTTGTCTTTTAAGGTTAACATTTCTTATTTGCTCGCAGCTGTCTCCCATGTCCTAGCAGACAAGGGACTTGTTCTGACCTTCAGGGCCAGGATGGGTCAGATTGGGAGGTGAGAAGGGGAGGAGTCTTACCTCCTGGGTGCTGAGATTTACCAGATGGACGGGTGGAGAAAGACGCTCTGTTCCGTTCACTCTGGTTTCCTTCCATGTGCAGCGGGAGACACGCTGGGGGACTCGCACCTTCCTTACTTTTTATTTAGAGAGTAGAGAGCTCAGAAAGACAGCCTGTGTTCTGTTTTATCTTACCACGTTATCTTAAGAGATGTGACATCCTTGAATAAACCTGTCTTCATGGCTTGTCCTATGATGATGTGTTCAAGACAGGGTGCTTTGGGGCCAGGAAAGAGATGTTCTCAGTAGGCAGGCTGACGAGGAGGTTTACCTATAGGTAGCAGGTAGTTCAGTGAAAAACTGACGCACTTTCATGTTTAATATCTTGGGCTTCTTTTTTTTTTTTAAGGCAATTCATACAGGGACCTGGTTAGTGACCGGTTAGTTAGTCTGCATTAACCAAGCAAGGGTTTTGTTTATATTTTTTAAAGGAGGCAAAAAGTGAGGTTCAGCTCACCTCCTGTTATCCTTGTTATTACTATTGATTTAAAGTCTTTAGTTCCTTAAAAGTAAAACACACCGTGTGTTTTCATTTGGCAATACGTGGGGACCATTAAAACTCTAAGCCTGGGCACCCCAGTTAGCCTCATTTGCTTTTTGTCCTGGTAACTACCAGTTACTTTTGTATTAACAAAACCAGGGTCTTCATTGGAGGCTGTCCTTGAACTTGGGCAGACAGAATTCTAGTGTCTGTTCCAAGCACACTATGACATTGAAGCTAAAATCACTGTCAGAAGTACAGAGCTCTGAGAATAAGTGAGGGGACATGCTTCCAATAGGAGGGTTGGGGACAGAGGAGGGCAGAGGGGCTGGGAGACAGGGTTCAGATTTGCAGTGGGGCAGAAGGTTACTGCCAGGGTCTGTGAGATCAGGTCTGCTGATCTGCTCCAAAGTGGTTTGGAGGCTGCCTTAAGCAAGGTTTAGGCAAGAGAGACGTAAGGAAACAGCCACCTTCCTGGCACTAGGTCCTGAAGCTAAAAGTGGAGTTTTGAACCGGGGCTGTCTGGAGCTGGCCCTCAGGGCCTCTCCGGCTGGGGCTATGTGTGTGCTCGCCCTGTGAGACCTGCTGCCAGAGTGTCTAACTTGCTTGTTTCTCTTTATGGCTTGGCTTCCCAACCTGGGGTGGGGCCAAACCCAACCAACTGCCCACTGGCTGCCCGTCTGGCCACAGTCGTGAAGCAGCGCATGCAGATGTACAACTCACAGCACCGCTCAGCCCTCAGCTGCATCCTGACGGTGTGGAGGACCGAGGGGTTGGGGGCCTTCTACCGGAGTTACACCACGCAGCTGACCATGAACATTCCCTTCCAGTCCATCCACTTCATCACCTACGAGTTCCTGCAGGAGCAGGTCAACCCTCACCGGGGCTACAACCCACAGTCCCACATTATCTCAGGCGGGCTGGCTGGGGCCCTCGCCGCGGCCGCCACCACCCCCCTGGACGTCTGCAAGACCCTCCTCAACACTCAGGAGAACATGGCTCTCTCCCTGGCCAACATCAGTGGCCGGCTGTCAGGCATGGCCAATGCTTTCCGGACGGTGTACCAGCTCAATGGCCTGTCTGGCTACTTCAAAGGCATCCAGGCAAGAGTCATCTACCAGATGCCCTCCACAGCCATCTCCTGGTCTGTCTATGAGTTCTTCAAGTACTTCCTCACCAAGCGCCAGCTGGAGAACCGAACTCTATACTAAAAGAACAGGCATGGGAACTGGTTCCAGAATCTTTTATTTTCAAAAGGCTTCCTCCATCCCCTTACTCTGAAACCAACAGGATTGCTTGCAGGTGCTCCTGTGGGCTTTCTGCTCCCCGAGGCCTTAGAGAGCAGGGCGGGACAGCCGCTTACCAGAAGGCCGTCCACGGGGACATCCCAGGTGGTGGTGGACAGGAAAGACTTTGCAAGGGGAGTGAGAGATTACTCTTCCCCTGAGAGGAATGTAGCTTTCCTTCTTCACTGTGGCAGTCTCCTGCCTTGATCCTTAGATCACATGGTGAGGAAGAAAATACGCAGTGACTGAGATCATTAAAGAAAAAAAACATTTTATGTATATAAAAGTTCCATTAACAGTATAAAATAGATGGATAATGTTTATCCTTTATTTTTCTATGTAGAAGTTTTTGAATTTGTGTGTGTGCTTGTGTGTGTCTACACATAGTATTACAGCTGGGAATATCAAGCTGTTTTTTTTTTTTTTTTTAAAATAAGAGGGCTGAGTTCTTCCATCCGGTTAAGTAAAATGGCACCAAAGTAATAAATTGCTGAATATGGCCTAAAACTGTGTTTAGCACACCCAGATGGAAGTTTCACTTGAATGTAAAGTAATAAATATTAAGTTTATATTTTGAATTTCTTTTTTTGTGGGGGAGTAAAAGGTACTTTTGAAAAATCAAAATGATATATTAATTGCAGCTACATTTTTTTTTTTTTTTTTTAAAATAAGAGGGCTGAGTTCTTCCATCCGGTTAAGTAAAATGGCACCAAAGTAATAAATTGCTGAATATGGCCTAAAACTGTGCTTAGCACACCCAGATGGAAGTTTCACTTGAATGTAAAGTAATAAATATTAAGTTTATATTTTGAATTTCTTTTTTTGTGGGGGAGTAAAAGGTACTTTTGAAAAATCAAAAAGATATATTAATTGCAGCTACATTTTTTTTTTTTTTTTAAATTCAGTCACTTTCATGTGCCTTTTCCCTGTGTCTTTCCTAAAAATTCCAGGACCAAAGGTCTGGCCCTGGCACCTTTTCTCCTGCTGTGTACACACATGCACACGTGCGGGGTGGCAGGGTCTCTTACACTGTGGGAGGGTGGATGCCTAGTCTTTAACCTACTGAGACCGTTTCCTCTCCTTGTGAGTGATGTGAATATCTGCCTCCCTGGGTCAGCACTTAGAAGCCCTTAACATGCCAGCATTTGGCTACTTGTTGGCAGGCAGTTGGGATAAATGCTACTTTTATCCTAGGAGCTATTTCTGCGTCAACCTTTTAACTCAGGCACTTCAGGTAACTTGGTCTACCAAGTGTGTTTTGACTTAATCTCCTCCTGTTTCACTCTGCAGTCTAGGGATTTTTCTCAAGCTTTTGTCTTTCCCCCTGTTCTGTCCCGGCCATCCATTGCCCTGTCACAGCCTCTCCCGGCATAGCATCAGAAGCCAGGCCCTCCAGCCAGGGCCCCACTGCTGAAACCTGACCTGGACCCTCATACCTGACTGAGCCAGAGGATGCCTCTCCGGAGCCACCTGAGAACGTGAGGCCTCTTGCTTTCTGCAGTGGTTCCTACGGAGTCAGATTATCGCTAAAAGAGAATACAAGCCTGTGTCCTGCAGCTATTCCATTTGATGTGCTGCCAGACCGTTATCCAAGGGAAGGCTGAATGGCTGCACCGTTCCCTTTTTTGAGCCCTCCCTCGAGCCTGTCTTTGAAAACGGGCAGAAGGAACACGTATGTTTTCATTTTGGTGGGCCTGGTCCTGACCTGCCGCCACAGGCCGTGGCCCGTGTGTGCCTCTCAGGCCTGGGCTCCTTTGGATGCTGTTACGCCTGAGTTTTTGTCTTAATAACTATGAGCAGTTTTATAAAACAATTGACTTCCTTTTTCAGATCAAGGATAGGAGAGAGCTACGTTGCCTACCTCCCACGTGGGCCCCGTGAGCAGGGCCTTGCTGATGGCCTGTCCCACCTTAGACTTAAAACCCCCCACCCCCTCCCCTTACGACCCCACCCCACCCCCCACGGAAACCAGTTGTGACCCTC